CAATGTTCCAGTACTGCCACTGCCCTTATCATTGAGCGAACATTTCTATTTGAGCACGTTCATTTCAGCAAACTGAACTGCATGAGTTGCCACCATTATCAGTGTACGATAACAAATAGTTGGATATTTGATGTTTCTTTTCATAATACACTATATTTGATCATCAGTTTAGTATTATAACTGTTGGAGTTTGATCACCTATTCATGAAGCTGCCACCAGCATGATTCATTAGGCCAATACCACTATTGCACCAGCAAAATTAGATTCATTACTTTTCTGACAAATAAATACATAATTATGTGAATAACCAGTGACCCGTAAGTGGTCGAAACAACGATGTTGTTATTGTTTATGATACAATATACGGCCATAGCCAATCCCAATGACCAGAGGTATTTTCAATATTTGTAGAACCATCTTTTGTGTCAGGTCGGAATATAATTCCCACACGAACAACTGCTAGAATTAAGGAGACATGTGCATAAGTACCAGCTATCGATTGTGTTGGTCCCCGTGCTAATCCTCGACCTAACATGAATAAGGACAACGACATTAAGAACCAAGTATTGATTATCCAACTACCACCAAGTGAGGGTTTTAATCTGGGCCCACAGAATGGATACTTTGTTTGTCTGGAGGACTGCTGAGGTTTCTGTGCAATTTGATCAGAAGAAACGCCATTTGTAGTACAAAAAACGAAGGTTGTTTTATTGACCGTTGTTCAACAACTTTTTGTGTTGGTTGTTGGAGCCATGAAGGGCGTTGTTGCTTGCGATTTTGTTGTGGTGGTTTCAATAATTCATGTTCAACTTCTAGTTGATTTTTCTGAGGATTATTTGTATTTATTAGTAATTTTGTTATTACATGTTGTTCACTAGCAGCAGCTGCTATTATTTGTTTTAGTTTTTCATTATCATGTGAATGAGATGGTGTTGTCCGAATAAATTGTTGACGCTGTTGTTTTATTTGATGGTCATACCATATCTCACCATTTTCTTTTAATGATGTTTCTTCCATGTTACCTTGTGTTCGTTTCGTGTAATTTTCTAAAAATCGATATGCTGTATTTTGAAGATAACAGGCAAAGTCACGCATGTGTTGATCATGGAAACAATGTTTGCGGACTGTTCCTAGCGTTGTACCAGGTGTTGCAGGCTGGGAATTTGTTTTTTCTGCTTCCTCTTCATCTTCGTCACTAGAATTATATCGACTATCAAATGGATCAACATATAATTCGTGTGTATCGATATCATGATACAATTCTGATCCATATTCGGATTGTTGATAATCTAAATACTCCAACAGTGCTTTCAAGCTGTTGTTGTTCATAATTGATGATGGATTAATTTCCATTGATTGAATACGTTTCAAACATGCCAGTTTGTCATTATCCATATCATCATCTTCTAAACCTTGAAATGGCATTTGAAATACCTCATAAAATCCAGCATAATCGCTTAACTGATTGTAATTGAATTTAACTAAACATCGCTGCTGCTGGTGATCTAATTCTAATACTGTTGCTTGTGAAAAATCAACACCACGAATTCTTGTGCATTTTTGATCATAAATCATCACTATTTGATTAATGTGAAATATTCCACCCCAAACACCTGTAAATGAGTGAAGATTGTGTTCTTCAGATCTAAGACTTGAATGTGATTTTTCTTTTGTGGCAGAACGTTGTTGTTTAGTATGGCATGGGTTCCAAAGCCAAAGCGGCTGCCATTCATCATCTGTATAACGTGCTTTTCGGTTGGACTGCTGTTTGATTTGTTATTGATAATAACGTTGTCGCATTTTGATTTGTGTGGTTGATTTGATTGTACTTACTGTGATATTGAATTGACAGCAAGCTGGCTAGTGTACCACTGTTAGGTTCCCGAGTGAACTAAGATCTTTCTCACCTAACGGTTATTTACAAATAAAAAAGATATCCTCTTAACAATAAAATTGATCTATTTATATAAGAAATATTGCGCGATAACCTTGACTAGGGTCTGCGCAATAACCTTCACTATGATCTTCTCCCTTATGGCATGATTCTAGTACGTGACATAACACATATTATAGTTTTATATTAATTACATTCAACAGAATATTAGTAAAAATGAATTTTCTAATTCTTGGAAAAAGGCTAAAATAATCTTGCTGCCGAAAGATAAAGCAAGATTAATAGATATTAACATCCATGAGAATTTTTTTCGCAGAAAAATTCGGCGCACCATATTTCAGTTTTTCAATCCCGAGAAACTAGACGTTACGGGGGACGGCGTCTTTTTAATTAACCACGTGCAATCGCTGAAGTAGATTAAAACCGCGATTTCACTCGGTTTTTTTGCGAAACGCATTCACCCGTAATGCCTAGTTTCTCGCGGATTTAAACGTAACCGCATTTCACAGCGATTGCAATAACGTATCCGGATGGATCACGATTGCGTATAAAACCGCGAGAATAGTCAAAGAATAATGTAATGTGGTCCTTAGGCCGCGATTTTAATTTTTATACTGTTCTTCTCGTTCTTACTAAATAAAGTTTATATCAACTGGTCGTTACGAGTAACCGCGATTCTCAAAAGTAACGCGTGTAACCGCAGTTTCGAAAACAAAAAGATTCACCTTGGTTTGTTGCCAACCGCGGTGCAATATACGAATTCCGCTTTTTTCGAATAGCTTTCAGTTTTCCCACACTTTCATCACTTCCAACGTCAACAGTATACAGCATATACTCCGTTGAAGCACTACAGCTGATAGAGTAGCTCGAGTGGTACTGATAATCAAAAACAGAATTTCAGAAAGTTCAGAAACGGATGAGACTGCCGATGCCAAAAAATGCTTCATAACCAAATGTTGTAGGTAATTTACATTGCACAATACATGACTCATCCGGTATCGCGTTTAACCAATGAGAGATCTACAACCGCAGCTGATCACAGTAGAAAACTCCGTTCTTTAACTTTAAGTGTGTTGTTAGAAAAACGCGTTTACTTCCGTTCTGCAACTGAAAAGGCATTCTTTAGCGCTAAAACCTCGTTTTCGATGACTCACCGGTTAACCGAGGTGCTAGATGAGTCGTATAAAACGCGTTTCCGGACCCTAAAACCACGTTTTTCGATGAGTCATCAATTAATCGGGGTGCTCGATGAGTCATATACAGTAGCTGTCAAAATTGTCCAACCACCTAATGGAAAAATTTTGTTGGTTTTATATTTGAGAAACGAACGTAGCTAAAGACTTGCAACTTACACTATGTTGCAGCTCCTCATCTCAGTATGTTAGACGGTATATCTTTATTAAATAAGATATCGATTACTCCTCAATAAGTATTCACCGGATTTTATTCCTTCTATCCTATTACTGGTTTTTTTCATACTTCGTTTGTTTTGGCAAACAAAATGAAAAGACTATGGACAATGCGAAGAATGATGATGACTCGTCACCAACAGCAGCAGTCGGTATATGCAATATCGGTAGAATATTCACAAGAGCCAGTTAGATAATTGATGATAAATCAACAAATGAGACCAAAACAAATGGCCATCCAATCGATTCGGAAGCAGCTCCCAATGCAAGAAATGCGATATATGAGCAATGACAACACAAGAGTTGATGATTAACCAAAACGCACGAGGCAGATGCATGATAATATAAATAATTCTTCTGACGAAGAATCAAACCATATATGAATATTCCATCACATCGGCTACACACTCGTCATTAAATAGTTCATGTTTTGTTTTTCTTCTTTTTTGCTTTTATTTTTATCTTGTTTTTTTGCTTTTGTTATCTATGACACAGCATAACATCCATATTTGCTTTATGGTATATAAAGCCCGGTCTTTTTTACTATTGTATTGTTAATGTACTGACGAAGGATACGAAACCGGTCTACATTAATAAATTATATACTATTTTCATTTCGTATTGGTTGACACTATGCATTTGATCTTTGGTTGATAAGACAAACTAGCTGTATAAAAGATATACCTTCTACTGTACTATGAAAAAATTTTGTTCGTTTTATATTTGAGAAACGAAAGTAGCTAAAGACTGGCAACTTACACTATGTTGTAGCTCGTCATCTCTAGTATGTTTCTGGTTAGTCTTAGATCTAAGCTCCGTATTGTTCAATTTTATAAAAACGAGAAAAAAAGATATCGAATTTATCACGCGCCAAAATTCTCCAAGCACCGACAATTTTTCTATGATATCGATGAGTATATATAAGAAATAGTTGCTTATTCCTATCTTATTGAGTGCTAATATCATCTGTAGCTTATTTCTTTGTGCCATTCGTTTGATAGAGCGAAGTACGTTACCAATCGAGCATTTTCAATAGTGATTCCTAAGAATAAGAAAGAATATTCAAATGATTTATGGGAAGCTGTGATTAAGCATTTCTTGAATGGTGGGTGATTCCGAGCGTGAGACAGCTCGAAAAGTATTAACTCCACATGAGTCTCTTCATTATATGATAAAAAAGTACAAATCAACAAAATGTATTGCAAATTTAATTGGTCGAGGTAGAAAACGAAAAACAACAATCCATACTGACCTATTC